TGCCTGCTCTGGGTTGTGGTGTTTATCTGTTGTTTGTTGTTGTTGTTGTTTTGGTTTTTTTCTTGCAGCTGGGTTTTTTTGTGGGAGAAGGGCTACCAGGAAACTGACTCTGTGGTCAGTTCGGTAACCACAAAGGTGAAAGGAGTGACGCTGACGAACACATCCACCTTGGGAGCCAGGATCTGGGATGCAGCTGATTATGTCATCCCTCCTCAGGTATCAATCACTTTCAGGTGCAGAGGGGTTTTTTTTCTAACAGCTGCTGTTCTTCCAGGTCCACTGAGGTCTGGAGCAGCTTTGGCTCCAGCATGGCCTTGATAGGAGAGAGCAAAGCAGCTGTGCTTTGTTCCAGATCATGCTGAGCACCTGCACCACCAGCCCTGGGGAAGCTTGTTTCAAGAAAAGCGTGTCTGTGTGTTTGCTTGTATAGGAGGGAGAATTTTGCAGGCTTCAGGAAAAAGTTGGAATAATAACCACGTGTCCTCTTTCTTACTGCTTCCTAAAGCAAACAACACAAAGTTAGTTGTTGGCAGAAACCCCAGGAATAGCCTGCAAGTCACTTGATCCGGAACTGAACAGGAGGTACTGCTGTAGTTGCTGATTGACCGTGTGTCTATGGGAATCTGTGCCGTGTGGGCAATACGTGGCAGCCTTCGAGGCTGCCAGGCACGGCCATGCTGCTAGTCATGGGTCACTCTGTCTGCGTGAGATGTGGTGCAGAAAAAAGTTACAGATTTAGCCAGATTTTGGCTGAGGGACGATATTTGCGTATCAGTGGAGCGGAAGCAAACAACAGATCCCGAATCATACGGATCAGAAAATAATGGAAGGGATGCTCCCTGGGAAACAAACCAGGGCTGGTCAAATTTGTAATAGATATATTGAGGAAAAAAAAAAAAAAAGAGTGGGAGTTGTGCTCAAACTTGCAGCTGGAGCTTTTATTTCTGCTCTTGCCTTGCAACTTCCCTGAGGAGCTGCATGATCTCTGTTTTCATAACATGAATGAGGAAATATGGGCCAAGTGGGAGGACAGAAAGGGTTGATAGTCCCTCAGTCCTTCCTCCGCATAAAGGCAGCGGCATCAGGCAATATTATGTGGGAATCTGTTCCTTTAGTGCTACACCAGCACTGTCCAAAGCAAGTCCCCTCTGCAGGACCACCGGGGCTCTGTCAAAAAAGATGCCTGGGGCAGTGCCTTGGATATTCTTTGCAGACTGTCGCTCTTAAATTTCCTTCTTGTTTTGTGTGTGGTCAGGAGGAGAACGCTGTGTTCGTCATGACCAATGCGATACTCACACTGAACCAGAGCCAAGGCCGCTGCCCAGAGGTAGGTACAGGATCTGCGTTAATCCTGCCTCGTGTGGGTGGGAGTGCAGGGGAGAGTGTTTGTAGAGTTTAGAGTAATTATGGTTCCTCTCCAGCTTCCAGATGATGAAACAGAGTGCAAGGCAAAGAACGACTGTGTTCCAGGATATGTCAGCACTCACAGCAATGGTAAGAAGTCTGCTGCAAGGGCTCCTTGAAGTCTGCGCTGTGATACTCTGCGCTGTGCCTTCCCTCCTGTGAAGGAAGCAGTGTTTTGTTTTAGTCTTCTTGTTCTTATTCTCTCACACCTAAGAACTGAAAGGGAAGCTCAGATTTTTCTTCTGGGGGAGAGCAGATGGGCTTAGACTGTGTTGGGTGGATGCTGGATAGATGTGCGCTTTGGTGAGTTAGCAAACAGTGAGAGGGCTTTGTCAAGACCTTGAGTCCATGAAGCAGTATTTCACATAGATGAGGATTTGACTCAGAAAAAGGATCCGATGCTTCTTTCTCTGAAATTGAACTACAAATTGTGATGGAAGATAATGGGGGTCTTGGTACTGGCACTTCACCTCTGAGCAGATTGTGGTGTGGGGAGATATCACAGGGCAAATACTGCCTCTGTGTTTTTGCTTGGTGGTACCTCCGTTCACATGTCTTTCCAGGCATCCAGACTGGGGAATGCGTACCGTACAACAGCAGCATTAAGACCTGTGAGGTCTTTGCATGGTGCCCTGTGGAGGATGACTATCATATACCCAAGTGAGTGCTCTGTCCTCCTACTCTGTGGTGACCCTCTTGACGGGAGGCTAGCAGTATGCAGCTGATGTTGCTCCCTATGAGGTACTATTGGGAAAAGCTGAAGAGATGATCATCAAGGACCCTGCAGAGTCCTGTTTGTGAAAATATAAGTGAAACTAACTTACTTTTCCTGTTGTTTTGTAGGCCAGCATTCCTTCAAGAAGCTGAGAACTTCACCCTTCTGGTGAAGAACAACATTTGGTACCCCAAGTTCAACTTCAGCAAGTAAATAGTGTGTGGAGCATTGCGTTGTCTGGTCTCTTGAACAGTGAAGGAGAGCTGGAGGAGTGGAAGAAGATGCAACAGATCTTCTCTCTCTGTTCCTCTGTAGGCGAAACATCCTCCCCACTATCAACTCCACCTACCTCAAGAACTGCATCTATGACTCCCAGACAGATCCCTTCTGCCCTATCTTTCGTTTAGGGAAAATAGTTGAAGCTGCAGGGCAGAACTTCCAGGAAATGGCTGTGGAGGTATTTGGCAGACCCTCTTGAGCCTCATCTGTGTAGAAGTGGAGTGTTAGGTGGTTGTCCTCCTCTGGCTCGTGGCATGAGCCACAGGACACAGAGTAGCTGCAGAATGGAGAGCTGCTCTGGCCAGAGGGACCAGAGTCAATTCTACTAAACAAATATTTGGCCTTGGCTTGTTTGAGTGGAGTTATGTGGTCTGGCTGTAGCAGGGGGAAAGAGGGTTTGACTGGGATTGGGATAAGGGCCCGTAAATCAGGGTCCTCGTCAGTAGAGAGCCTAGTGCTGGGGCTGGCTGGGCACTTAGGCTGCTCACCTTCTCCTCTCCTCCACTTGGCAGGGTGGAGTCATGGCGGTGCAGATCAACTGGGACTGCAACCTTGACAGAGCTGCTTCCCACTGTGTGCCAAAGTACTCCTTCCGGCGCCTCGACAACAAGGACTCTGCCCACACCGTCTCGCCTGGCTACAACTTCAGGTAATGTGGCTACAGAGAGGGCACCTGGTGTCCCCGTGCCTCAGTCTGCCACTGGTGCAGTGTTACGGGCTGCCTGCACTCCTCTGGCAGGTGTCGGGTAGTCCTTGGGCTTTCAATGGTGCTGTAAAACTTGGAGAGATTCCCTGATGTTGTAAAACATAGAGCAGGTCGGATCCTCACTGTGTGCAAACAACAGCAGAGGGGAAAGGTCAGTGAAGCTCCACTGATTGCGTCAGAGTGTCTGAGTCACGTTTGCATCAGTGTTTAGGGGTCGTTTGGGTCAGCCTCCCATGGCGCGGCGATGTGAGAACTGACCATCTCGGGGCGTGCTGGTAGGGCAGTATCTGAGGGGGCTGGAGTGTGGGAGACTGAAGCACCTCCTTCGCTGTGCATGAGGGAAAAATGAACCTCTAGAAAGTGGCTTTGTCAGTTGAAGACCGTATCTGCACCAGGAGAATCCTGGCATGAACCACCACCTATACATTCTGGCTGGGTAGCTCGTTGCATCCAGACTCCGAGCTATAATAATGTGGATTGGCCACCTTGCCAAGATCCTTGCAACAGTCCTGCCTGTGAGGAAACACGTCTGAGGGCTATGCTTGTTTCTAGGATCACAATCTCTCACTTAGCACAGGGGCTCTTTTATGGTGGAACTTGAAGGAATTCACCGAGAAGCTGCTGCCATGCAGGCAGCACAAGTATGTGTTTAGGAGGTGCCAGGCCTGCAGGTATTGGGGTGTCAGGCAAGAGCGGATGGAGGATATCGCAGCCCAGCTGGTGCAGGTTCTGAAGTGCTTGTGGTACCAGACCATGGTGCAGCTCCTTACCAATCCTTCCTCTTCTCTTCCACCCTCTTCTCTGCTTCCTCCTGGCTTAGTCATCCATGTGGCGGAGTAAGTCTGATCTCACTTATTTGTCCTCATCCCTGTTCCCTGTCGTTTGCCTGCGGGTCACCTTGTGCGGGTCAAGGAACAGGCTTTGTGTGCCAGGCTGAGCCGCGCTGCCTCCCTCGCTGCCTGCTCCCGGCCCTGCCCTCTCCTGGCTGCCTGCACTCCTGCAGCCTCCTGCTTGCCTCTGGAGGGGCTGATTCTCATGTGTAGCTCAATTTCTTCTACCTGTCCTCCTGCTCTCCTATTACAGCTGGCTTTCTCCTCTTCCTATGCTTTGAAATTTTCCTGATTTGGCTTGTGCTAACTGCTGTCGTAAATTCGCCTGTGCAGGGCTTTTCTCCTGGATGTGTTTGCCTGCATGAAATCTCTCTCCATCATTTGGGTCTTGTCTCTGGAGGTATCAATGTTCAGCCCGTCCTCTTGGGATGGGGGACACACCTGGATGTTGCATGGTCACATAAGCAACCTCCAAATTTCCAGCAAAGCTCAGACCTGTCTTTTCTCCAGGTTTGCAAAATACTACAAGGGTGGTGAAGGCACTGAATCGCGGACACTCGTCAAAGCTTATGGCATCCGCTTTGATATCATAGTGTTTGGAAAGGTAGGGTGATGTAATTCCTGGAGGTCTTGTGGTGAGAGCTTTCAGAGGTGCTGAAAAACGTGTTCACCCTTGTAACTGTCTTCCAGGCAGGGAAATTTAATGTAATTCCTACCATGATTAACATCGGCTCTGGCTTAGCACTGTTTGGCGTGGTAAGTGACGCTGTCTGCGCTTGGGCTCAATTCTAGATTAGTGCCTCAGTCCTGAGGATCATTGTCTTAAACTCTTTCAACCTCCCCTAGGCAACAGTGCTGTGTGACGTTGTTGTCCTGTATTGCATGAAGAAGAGATACTACTATCGGGAGAAGAAATACAAATATGTGGAGGATTATGAACTGGTAAGCATCGATGAAGGCAAAGTTGCTTCCTCCTCTGACTCTGGAGAGATTCTGAAACAGGACGTAGAAAGTCCACATCAAACAAGGATTTTGAACCACAGCTCTGAGGAAACTTTGTCTTTGTCAGAGAAGCTAATTTTTACCTCAAAGCGGTTGCAGGGAGGAGCACGAGAAACAAATATTGTCATGTTTCCAGGGCAACCACTCTTGGAGAGGGAAATGTATGTTCAAGAACTTGCTGTGCTCCCATTGCACCTCTTTTTTGGGTTGCAGTCCTTGGCAGATGCCTTCTGAGAGCTGCAGACAACAGCTCTGTCCCCATCAAGTCCTTCCTTCTTGGCTTTTGGGGGTTCCTGCTGCCTTCCTTCAGGATTTAAACGATCTGTTTGGCCAGTAGAAGGTTGCTTGACTGGTGCTGAGGGTAGAGGTTGGCCCTGCAGCCCTGTGCTTGGTGGGAAGTGTTGCTGCAAGGGGTGGATTTCTGAATCAAAAGACCTTGTGGCACTGGAAACATAAAGTCTGAGTAGCAGAGAGTAGCTTGCCTGTGCAGAGGATTTTATGTGGGAGGAAGGGGGAAAAAGCAGAGTTTTTTCTGGCAGAGAACTGTATTCTCTGATCCTTGCAGGGAGTTGGTGAGACATACGGAACAAACTCCTGACCTCGGGCTGCTAGAGCAGCAACCGCTGCTCTGAACTGATGCTGTGAATGTTACTCTAACCCTGCCATGAGACCTACCCACTCTTCGTTGGAAGGAAGAGGGGAACAGACCTGAGAAAGGGACCTTCTGCACTACTCTTCACTACTTTTGCTGGCTGGAGCCAACCCCCAGAGGGAAGAACTGGGTCTGCTCCTTGTCAGCTTTCTTTCCAGGTTAATTGCACTAAGCACAGAGGGAGAATTGTGCTTTTATGACAGGCCTCTGCACTGGGTAAGCCTGGGACAGAGGTTGCTCCAACACCATCATTTTGACAGTCCTTTCCCTGAGCTCCCTGATAGTGGAGAGCACAGGGTAACAAGCACAGATTCTTCCTTACAGTGAACGTGGGCCCTGCCAGGTGTTGCCTAACCTTGGGAGACCAGCTTCTTGCTGTTGTCAAATCACTTTTCCTTGCCCTGAAGGATTGTGTCTCCAAGCTCCAGTGGCCACAGTATGAGACAGAACAGTGTCTGGTTCCATTGTGCTATGGTAGATGGGCTACTGGTTACAGAATGATTTTTTTTCTGTTTTGTCTAATTTTTATGGTACTACTTTAAAATTTACTTTCTTTTAAATAAAATATTACCCTCTCTCAGCCCTCTTAAGCCTTGTTTTGCTTGTTTGTTTTTCCCCAAGGCCTGTGAAGATTAAGGTCAGTGAACTGTCTTTGTTTTACGCAGATACCAACTGTCACTCGAGAGCTATCAAAGCCAGTGCTGCTGTCTGCTTTGCCTCTTGATTCTCAGCAAAATTGCTGCTGCAACTACAGCTGCTGCTCCACCTTGGTTTTCCTGACACCTTGTCTGCGTCTGTTGTGTTAAAACCCTAGCCAAGGTAAAAGACTAGAAGCAGAGGCCAGGGTGGGTTAGCCTGGCATGGCCTTAGCCAAACTCTAGCACCAACTGGTCAGGCAAACTGAGCTATTTTTCCCTGACATATCTCCCATGCTTTTCACCACCACCCCCTCCAGAACCTGTATCTGGGCTGCTGCATTTCATGGGTTTACACGATTTGATTTAAGTGGATTTGTTGGCTTTTATCTTCACATGGTCTTGAGCATCTCTAGTGATCACGCTGGCACACAAGGTTCCCTTTCTCTCAACCTTTTCTAGTGTTACAGAGCCCTGGGACCTATTCCATACCTCCAGCATCTTCTGGGGCTTTGCTTCCTTTTTCCAGCAGCGCAGTGAGTTTGCTACAGCATTGTAGTTTTGTTTTATTCTTTATTTGCCTGCTGCTGCTGAGCACTGAGCTGAGCGTCTCACCTCAATACTGTGCCTTTCCAAGAGTCAGTGCTCCAGGCTGCATGTGAAGGCTCAGTCTGGATTATACAGTGGTCCCATCCTAGCCCAAGATCCCCAGTAACAGTAGAGCACCAAACTTCACTAACACACGAAGGTGCTTTCAGACTCCTCTTCCAACAAGCAAACTCTCATAGCTTGATAAAGACCAGTCAAACAGGATAATGGTTCCACTGGATCAACTATGGGTTTGGTTGCACGTCATTTATTTCAACTTGTACAGAGAAGCTTGAACAGCTGTGTGGAAAAACACTTAGTAGTTTGTTTTCTTTCTTAAGTAATATAATTTAAAAGTGGTAAATACACAGTATTTAAACTTGATACACCTGATAAAGTTAAATGCATAATAAAGGGGTAGGAATGAAACACAAGCCTCGGTCATTAAACAAACAGTATAAAAATCAGCAATAGTTAGGACCTTAGAAAAGAAACAGATCAATTGCCTGATAGGTGAGAGGACCACCAAGAAAAACGACTCGGGCAAGAGGCCTGGTTTCCCCTTAGCACTTTCCTGTGTGCTTTCAGAGCTGAAATGGCTGAGTACCCAGCATCAAGCCTGCAGCCAGCACTGGGCTTGCTTGAAAGGAAGGGAGTTGGGGAAATCAAGCTGTAGCCCAGTTCCAAGGCACAAGCAAAATGTTTACTTCACTATAAGGAAAAAAGCTAGCTTTACTACGAAGGAACAGCAGCTGGGGAACTGAGCAGGTTCATATAATACAGCACAGCTTCTCTAACAGGTCATGCATTTAGGTAGATCTTCCTCACGCAGCCACGCTTTGTGCTTCCAACAGAACTAATCGACAAGAAAAATCCACATTGAGTTCCTTTCAGAAATGTGCATTTGGCTGCAGCCCTACCGGAGCTGGCACGGAGACAATCGTTTCGGTGAGCGCCTTAGGGAAGTGCTGAGCTTCAGGATCCCTACGAACCAAGCCCGTGAGACACTGGTCTATGGTCCTGTCTGAGGCCCAGTGACTGTGGCTGGGCATCGAGGAACTGGTACAGCTTATTCTGCTTAGAAGCTGCGCTGCACCTGGCAAGCCCGTTGTTTGGTAAATGCAAACTGTCTCTCCAGGCACCTGACACACCACAAACTGGAGATACGCAGCACAGAGCATCTCTACAACTCACCTTTAACAAAAAACACTCCACACACATTACTATGCACCAGCTACAAATAATTAGATCCCCTATTTTTTTTTTTGTTTTTTTTTTTTTGGCAGAAAAAGTCCCTTTACCAGGTTAGAGAACCAAGCTGCCTGCTCGCGCGCGTTTCCGCAATGAGAAGTCCTGTTTAGGAAGGGGGGGCAGGCAGCTGTAGTAGTGCTGGCACCCAAGTCACCTGTTTGGTTTTCCCATAGCTGAAGCTGCAGGGCTTTGGCATAGCCTTGGACTAAAACGGGAGGAAAACAGTGCGTGTCTTATGGCTCCAAACTCCAGAGTGCTGCTCCTAAACCACGAACCATCGTCGCTGGCTTTGGAGAGAGGCCAGCAGCACAATGTTTCGGTAATAAATTGCAATTTAGGTGGGGAGCATTGCTTCAAGTGATCAAAAGATGCAAGGGACAGTTTGTGTAGGCACCTGCACGCTTTGTTAACACTGTCCTGGCTTTAACCAAGACCTGTCCTAACCAGGAATTACCGGGCCAGGTCTGACTGCAGCAGGGCCAAGGACCTTGTCCTGCTGCTGCTTGCGGTGCCCAAGATGAGGGAAGACAAGGGGATGGTCACTTCCTAAAGGCAGGGCACCCCTGGCCAGAGTTAGCCAGCAGAGATCTTACCATTAACCAAAACACTTGGGTCTCTCCTAGTGCCTTCCTCCTCAGCACAGAGGATTACACCTTAGAGGTCCCTTACATGCTTGGGACATTTGAATCCTCCCCCTCTTTCAGGTACACCATCATTTTAAATGTCTCATCCCAGGTCACACAACCACACCAGACTGAGAAGAGAAGGCATCAGACCTTTTCCCTGCCCGGTCCCACGCTCCCTTCACAAACCAGCTGTACTTACCCTGACCCCTTTCCCCAAGCAAGCCCTGACTCTTCTCCAGCTCACCCACACTGTGCCGTTCTCCAGCTTTGTCCCAGCACAGAGAACTTGGGAAAGTGAGTCTGGATGTCAGAATCTCTCCCACCACACAATGGATGATGATTTTTTTTTTTTTTTTTTTTACAAGCACCACAAAATAATCAGAGTAATCTGACTGAAGGTGAAAGAGCTCTTCATAAGAAACAATCCGTGAATTAGGCATACACTTAATTTACTAACAAGCCTCTGATCCGCAGGCATTCACAAATTACTGGTAACGAACTTGCAAAAAATACATAGCATTGGCCCAAAAATCCAGATTAAGAGTTTGGAAAACAAAAGTTTCTTTGAAAATTACTAGCTAATCTAAGTATTTCATTAAGATCTTACATTCTAAGCAAGCCCTAAGTCTATACTTAAAAAATAGCATAAGTTGCAATATTTTTAATTGTAGTAAACCATGTAATGTACATGGAAGTGAAGGATTTTACCCTGAATTTTATATTTAATAATATGTCTACCTAGCTCAAGTAAAAGATTTAGAAACAAACTGTTGTTAGTGCTTCCTCTGCTGTTCAAAACATTCAGCTAAACACCACCTTTCACTCATATGTCTGCAGCAAAAATAGTTCAGACTGAACTTAAGCCCTTAAATACCTTTTCCTTTCATACTCTGAATACTCAACTTACCGAGTCCTAGTCACACCAAGACCTTAGGAAAGGCGTTAATTACCTTAGGAGGTAATTAACCTCACTCTCTGAACGTCCCACAGATGCTGTTTAATGTGACTTGGCTCACAAAGGCAGGCATTCTGTAAAAAGCTGAAAAGGTGGGTTTTTGCTTTGTTCCCATGCAGTTAAAAAGGTGTCAATTAAAACCAAACCAGAACGACGAGAAATAGATGCAACAACATTTCCGGTAGGTCGTGGACTCAAAGTGGGCACGTGTAGTTTTACAGTTGGGTATGTCACTTGGCAAAAGCTTCACCCTTCTGCGTGTGCCCACCGACTACGCGATGGGCATGCAACACCCCTGGGATGCTGGCGTTAGTCCCCGGAAATTATTTGGCATTAAAACCAGGTAAAAGCAGTTCCAAATGCATTTTTGTTTGACTGCTTTTTTTTTTTTTTTTTTTTTTTTCAAAGCACTGTTGCTGCTCGACACGATAGCTCACCTCTCTGCTATCAGCCAGCACCTTTCCCACGAGAAGTCAGCAGTCCAAGCGATCGGAGATGTTCAATGTTTATGACGAGTTGTCAGATGTCTTATAACATGCTGCTATGTAAGCTCTACATCCAGCATTATACTGAAATAGCGCTGTGTCATGCTGTGTTTGGTGTAGGCTCTGTTAATGATGTTGCTCATCCTCAGCTGCACACTTTAATAACGTGCCCCCGGACCAATTTGCCCAACAGAACCTTAAAGTTGATGTTCACGAAAGAAGTTCCTCCTCTCCCACGTTGGGCAAGTCATTGCATTTCAGATTATCTTCACTGCCTTGTTTCCTGCTTTAAAAGGAAATAAAGCAGTTGCTGAGTGACTCAGAAAAAAGCAAAGCAGACAATGAGACACCAGCATCTGCCCCTTCCCCGTCACAGGGCCTTTGGGACCCTGAGCAGGTGTCGTCTCCCCCCAGCACCCCTGTAACAGGCTGGAAGTGCCACAAAAAGATGCTTTTCAGCCCATCAGAGAGGCAAGATATGTCATGTCACAAAAATCATCCCACAAAGTGGTTACAGGTCAGACAGGGAGTGTGTGAATGTCTCAGACATGGCCCCATGTGAAAGATTTAAAGCCCAACTCCTTGAATTCTCCTGTGCTTTGCAGGGATTTCCAGAGCATTAAGACAAGCTGCAAATGTCTTTTCAGGCCGAGGCGAGGAGATGACACTTACGGCAGCAGGTTCCCAGGGGCAGACAACGACCGCTCCTCCCTCCTGCTCCCCTCGAACGGGTTCCCAAAGGATCGCTTCCGGATCATCGTTTTAACCAAAATCTGCAAGACCAGATTGGAGTGCGTCAGGGATGTTTTCCTTTCATTCAAGAGCAACAAGAACATCCAACCCTCATGCCCAAGTAATTAAGAAAACTAGCAAAATCAAGTCAAAGTTCTCTTTTTTTAAAAAAAAAAAAAAGAAAACAGAAAGAAGCATGTTTACAGGTCTCCAGCTGCTTAATACAGGGGCTGTATCCTCGTCTGGAACCCTCGGTGCAACAACTGAACAGGCAGATGAGAGCCACACTAGGTGTGAGAGGCTGGAAAGGAAAGCAAAGCCAAATCTGGGAAGATTTTCTACCCCCAGAAGTCGGTTTTACTGATTACAGTATCCAGTACCTGCAAATTCCCAGTTCCCTGCAATTACTTGGCAGAAGAATTCATTGGAAAAGGAGAGGGAAAGGAAGAAACGGGCACAATTTTGCCTTAATGTTTACCAAAACCAAGCTGAAAAGTTGGCTGTTTGTCTAGCTTTGGCTGCAAAACACAAAGTTACCCAGCACCAGCTGCAATCGGAGACTGATAGGAACAGAGCAAGTGTCGGGGGTTTTCCCAGGCATCCCCCAACTTATTTTGCTGGTGGGAGCAGAGAACAACGCGAGCAGCACCGGACCCTGCCTCAGCATGTGCGTTCCGCTCTGGGAGCCCCTGCCTTCATTTGACATGGCTTCTCGTTCCCCTCTGCCTCGTTTATCTGCTCACCCCAGTGCACCGAGAGCCCTTGCCCGTCTGACATGCGCATGGCAGCACGGTCCACGGGGAAAGGCACTTTATGAGAGTCGAAGCCACGTGAATCTCGCGCTCGAGCGTTAACGCCGGCAGCTGAATGCACAAAGATCAGGCACCAGAGGGGAATTTTGAAGAACAAATGCAAATGGGAAAATACAAGATCTGCCTGGAGGCGGTGCGTTATTTAAGAGGCAAGAGTCACGGTAAAAGCCCGTTTTTCCCTGAGCTGTGCTAAACGCACCTGGATTTTCAACGGGGCTGGGAGCACTGAGCCATCCTCCGCTGCATTGCAGCAAGTCACCTCCGAACAGGAGAAAGGGGGGAAAACCCCTCATCAATGGTGATCTCTTTAGAGCAAGACCTGCTTTTTCAGCTTGAGCAGCGCAATGCACGTTTGCATTAACGGATCTGTGGTCGAAGAGCCTTCTGTAGGGTACTGAAGCAGGAGAGAGCTCCAGAAATGGAGCTGGTTGTGGGCACAGCCATGAGATAGAAAAGGGGCTTCAAAGGGAGACCTGTACTTCAAAAAATCACAGCCTGGGTGTCTATGAGCAGATGATGCCATGCCAGGGAACTGCGAACGGTCGCTCACCGTTTCTTCTAGCGTAAGGGCCAGCAGGAACCCAAAGAAATCATGAGGTTCCAAACCCCAAAGGATTTCACTTTCCACACAGGGCAGGGTTACACTGTGCTTCTCACCACCACGGTGGGTCGCAGAGAATAAAAATATAAGCTTGAGGAGATGAGATGAATTCACCAAGAATAGCTACGGGTGGGGGCTGGCGCACACCGTGGCCCAGATAAAATCTCCATCCCGGGAAGCTCCCACAGCCCCTACGGATGGATGGGCAGAGCAGGGCAGGAGCTCCTCAGGCCTGGCCAAAACACCCATACCCAGCGACAGGCAGGGCCTGAACCAGCTGCTCTTTTGCCCTGAGCAAATAGTAGCCAGCTCAAGCGTGGAGACCGGCCACCTGCTGACAGGTTGACAGGTCCCTTTGGGACCGCTCTGAAACATTCCCCCGCGCTGCGGTGTACGGTCACCTCCAGCTAGATGCACAGACCGCATCTCGTGGTGCTCATTTCTGCGAGAGGGAAGGTCTTTGCTCTAATCCTGCCCAATGCTTTTCCCCTTCAGCAGCAACCTCAGCTGCTTGGAATCACCCCGGGAGGCAGCGTGGACCCTGGTGTGCGTCCACAGACCATCACCTCCCTCCTACTCACCACGGTAGCCAGGCTGGGGATGTGCTTGACCGAATTCTCCACCTCCTCCTCCGTCACCTCGACGAGGGTGCAGTTCTCATCCTCCGTGGGCAGCACCTCCGCTCCGTTCTTCGTGACCCAAGGGTGCAACTTCAATTAATAACACAGCCTGTCAGGAACGATTTCCTCTTTTTCGTAACTCAAACAACACAACCCTGGCAAACGCATCTCCTCGCCCAAGCTACGGCCCCTACGTGCTCCTGAAATACCAGGGAGCAGAGGAGAGACATGCCAGCTCACCCCAGCACCACCGGGAACGACTCAGCCTGGAGCACAAAATGCTGCGGTGCGGCTCATCCGGAGCCAGCGTTGGCCCCATCTACGCAACCGAGCAATAACCTTGGTGACCTACGGCACTGGGCATCTCAGTGGGTCTTCTGGAAGGAGACCTGTTTTCACTGTCATCTTACGGATGAGACAGCGCCAAGAGGCAGGAGTGATTTATTCCAGACCACACGTATGAGCGGTAGCGATGGGGAGACCCGCCGAGCCCTAGTCTTGGACCTGGATTAATCCATGACAGAAGGCAGAAACCCCTTTTTCTCCTTGCCCACACACCTGGTGACTTGGGCGGCTGCAGGAGGAGCACAAAATGGTTCAGCAATTCCCCCGCAATCCTTTCCCCCTACCTTAGTCTCCATTTTCTCAGCTTCTCGCCCCTTCCAGGCTCCTGCAGGGGCGGAGGACCAGAAATCTCCTGCGAAAGGCTGTTGCACAGTACTTTCCTGGTAGCAGAGGAAATACTGTACTCAGGGGATTTCCTTTTGCCTGTGACTTCTGTAGGCACCAAAGGTCCCAAAGCTGAGCAGGTCCCCGAGCAGGGGAAGGAGCTGGGACTTACCTGCCCAGGGGCCCTGGGCACAGGGGGAGGACCTAGCCTGGCGCGATCAACCTGACTCCCAAAAAAAAGCCAAGCAAGGAGAACCCAACAGAAGTGAAGCCGCAGCCAACACCAGCGGGGTGGGTCAGTACCTTGATTTCTGGGACCGAAATCCTAGATTCAGGATTTTTATCCAGCATCCGTGTAATCAAATCCTTCAAGAAGTCTGTAACTTCTGGTCTGGGGAAAGGAGAGGAGAGAGATGAGATGGGGAAGGGGATGGATGCTGCCTCCCTTCTTCACCCCAGTGCCAGCTGCCATGGGCCTTCCCAGGCAGATTAGGGAATCCAGCATCCCTGCTGGACTCCAGCCCTGGCAGGGATGCAGCTCCACATACTTGTGCACCTAGGTGCCACGAATTCCTTCCTTTCCAAACCCTCCAGGGAGGCAAAATATCCCCTTTTTTGGCCACCCGAAGTGTGATCCCGCATGCACGGGGCTGGGAGAGCCCAACAGCAACTCCACCCAGGCTAAAACCCAACAGGCAGAAACTGCAAAGGTTAAGCCATTCCCTCAAACACCTCTGCAACTTCAATCGCTCCTTCTTCAGCAACTGCAAACCAAGAGATGTTGCCTTCATGTTTAATGCAAAGTTTTCCAGGGCCGAGGGCCAACAAAAGGGCTCAGAGTCTGAGTTTTGCAAAACCGCAGCAGAGCAGGACCAGCCCCAGCCCGGTAGTACCTGAGAAAGGGCTCAAATGAGTTGAGGTTTTTTGAGTACTTACTGGTCTGGAAACTCCAATGTTTGGGTCTTGATTTTGTTGTGTAAACTCAGGATCCTTTCATCCATGAAAGGGCACTACCACGAAGAAAAAGAGCAATGAGAAAAGCAACAACCTCTGTTAAGAAGCGTCAGTGGGGCATCCACTACGGGATCTCCTAGGGTTTGAAGGAAATCAAGGAGCCAGTTATAGGGAAATATCAGATTTCCTATTCTATCAATGTCTTCTTTTAAACGCAATGAAAATAATGTTTGACTAAAACTGACCA